TGGCTGTAAGGGGAGAAGGGAGGCCATCAAGAAAAAAAAAAAAAAAAAAGAATAATGTAGTATTTTTATTCCACAGCAGAGAAAGCCATGTGGTCTCTGTAAGTAGGTCTAGAAAATAATATCGGTATTGGTATCGGTTATCGGCCAAAAATCCAGTATCGTACATCCCTAGTTATTATTATTACTTTGGTGTAAAGTACAGTGGTGACCATGCATTTTCCTCTGACATCCCCCCACCCCCCCACACACACACACTTGCCAATTTGGATCCACTCAGTCATCTCTAAAAATGGACTCCTATCTTTACCTTGATGTTTCGCAGCCTCATCATTAATTCCCTTTCAGCTGTTGCCTCAAAAATAAACTTCCACAGTTCCTCCTGACTCTCCACTCAGAGCCCCCACCCCACCGCCCTCACACACACACACACACCTCCATCCGATGTCATGTTCTTCAGCACATCTCTCTGACCCTCCAGTCTGGAAGCTTTCTCAGGTTCTGGCTGCTCATGCGTTGCCTCATTGTGTGTTCGCTGTCTCGCTCCTGTCGTCACTTCAAAAGGCTGCTAATGCTCACTTTAGAGGCGGCGGTTCTGCATGTCGGAGAAGGTGAAGCAGAGTGACAGCTATGCTAAGCCGTGTCTTCAGGGAACAAATCCTCACAGAGGCTGTATGAATGGGAGGGAGGGCACCGCGATGAGGCGGCAGGTGTTGTCACCGACACCAGCACAGTTTGAAGATGGAAACAGTTTCTGGGGGGACTTCTTTTACGGGAGATTCAGTCGTGTTGAGATGTTGAGACTAAGCTGAGGTGTCACCTTCATCACCTTTGGGTGGCCTCCATGATTCATGAGCTCATGAAAGCAGGCAATCATCCCTTTTAATTCTCCCTCCACTTTCTTCTGTTGCTTTCACTCCCTGCCTCAAGTGGAGCATAATTGCATTTTCCAGGACTGATTTCCATAAGAAATCTGCGTTCCTCCATGTGTGGCAGAGCCAGCAGCTCCACGTCGCTCTGGTTTCCACAGCACAAGACCTCACACCCCCACTCTGTTTATAAGCAACCCAAGTTTAGGGTAGATGTGAACTTCCTGTTCTGCTGACTCCTAAAATACATTGTCCTGTTTTGCCCCAAAACAAAGTTCTTAGTGTTTGCTGCTTTTCTTATCACATGCTGTTGTCTCTGCCTGTGTATAGTCTGTTAGCAAAATATCGCATGAACCGCTGGACAGATTTTGATTAAACGTTCAGAACCTAATCATTGGATGTGCATCTGCATCTCATTAGCTTTAAGCGTTAACCAAATTCAAGATGGCTGCCACAACAAGCTTACAGTAAAAACACAACAATGGCTACAGCTCAGTTAATTCTCCAGTCATGGAGCTAAAATGTGGCGCGGTAATAGTTGAAAATGATCCCAACACAGATTCTGAGCGCTAACATTTTGTGCAAGTTAATCTTTTAATGTGTTGCCATTAAGAACTTGAGGTCAACTCTGTTAGCAAAATATCTAATTATTTTCTGGATGAGTTTTCATTTAATAAAGAAAAACAGCTAAATCTAGGACCGATTAACTTGAGTTACTTTAATTTCAAACTTCTTACAGTTATTTTAAGTTAAACACAGAAATGTCTAACTCGGTCAGTTTTGTCGATACGGAGTAAGATGTGGTAGTAGCTGAGAGTCATTCACAACATAAACTGTGTGTGTTATGTCTTGTCATATGATATTGCTTATCGCATATTCATTCGTTCAACCTTTATTTAAACAGATAAATCACACTGAGTCTTGAAGACTCATTTACAAGTGAGACCTGTTTGGATAAAATTGGTGAAAAATAACACATAGGGTTTGAGATAAAAAAAAAAAATCCTAACACGCTTTTAACTTCTGGTTGAAGGTCAACAGTGTGATAATGAAAAAAAAAACTTGCACACTAGCACATGATGCCGATGCCGATATTACGCGGGGGGGGGGGGGGGGGCTTGGGGGAGAGACAACGCAAGGGCAGTGAGCATGTCCAGAGACAACACACAGAGGCACTGCAGAGTTCAAATAAAATCTCTCAGTTCAAATAGTTCCCTCTGGAGAGATCCGTGCACACTCGGGGGGTGCCGAGGACGACCAAAGACGAATCCAAAGAGTCTGAAATGATGACAGAACGTTTATTCAGCTGGGCCCCTCGGAAAAGTTCATGGAAATTCCTCAGAAGGAAGAGAGGGAGGGGCTGAGCATGACGTTTACAAAACTTCCAGGCGGGTTGAGATAAGATGGCCTGTCGAGGCCAGTCAGGGAGGCGAATTCAGATAAACACGATTGTTTTGGGGACAGGCTGAACTTTAATGACTTCTACCTTGTGTCTGTGTCGGTCCACTCAGTTCCGAAACGTCCAAATTAAATGGCCACACCAATGGACCATGCCTGAGAATAATATCTGCGATCTGATCCATTCTGCCAAAAGCATTTGAGTCTGGGTGCTCGAGGCACGAACAAAGCCAACATATAAGGCAGGCAGCCTGATCAGGTCCAAATTTGCTGCCGACGACTTCCTTGATTGTTGATAGACCAGGAACCAGCCTAATCCAAAAATCAGGAACCAGTTATCATAAATCCAATTACAAATGCGTCCTTAAAATCCATGAATGACAGCAGAGATAGACACATCATCAAGTCTTCCAAGTCGAGGAGATATCCAGCTGAGTGCGTGCCAACAGGGCAAATCAGCTCACCTAAATCCTGTCTTCTCTTCAAAGAAATGTTATCAATTGTGTTGAGGGACCAACTGATCAAAAAGTCCATGTTATGATTCAAAAGATTTGTAGAAGAGAGGCACTAAAGCAGTTCACAGAGCAAAACAAAGCGGAGAGGGAGAGGAGGAGACGTCCGCCCTTGACAAGAGCAAGTGTTGAAACATAGATCACCAAAACGACTAACTCTCATTTCTTACATGATCTTGGCGTAAATCTCTGACATGAAAGGCGTCGACGGATGTGCATTTCTTTGAGGACTGCAAGGCCTTTACTTTTTTGCTGCTTCATTTAATTTTTAATTTAGAGACTTTTCCCCTTCAAGTATGTTTGGCTCATTAGCTTTTACAGATCCTGATCCTCTATTCCCTTCACAACACCTCCTGCTGTGAGTCTACAAGCACCAGGACCTGGATAAATAATTAAAAATGGACTGTTTTAGTGTGAGTGTGGGGTGGGGGTTCTTCCTATGGGGCCTCCTCGAGAGGTTTCGCTGCACCTCACGTGGAGCTGCTAAGGTTATCAGATCTGCAGCTGTAGACTTGCAGCTGCTGTAGGCACACATACAGTTCAAGCTGAAAATGCGTTTTCACCGTTTAATATTAGAGGTAATTGCTTTGTCAGCGTGTTCAGATGATTTGGAGCTACATCTGGTGTTGCCTTTTCAGGTAAAATCTTGCCGGTGATTAATGCGCACTCAGTCGAAATGCAGATTTTAAAGGATCCCTGCTGTTTTGACAGCACTCTTATTGGTGACTCAAGAAAAAAACACACCAGTGTGTTCAGTTTCTGCCTTAGCTGTCAAACCAGAAGCATTGGGCTCGTTTTCGTCCTGAGCCTCTATTAAAGGACTTATCAAGTGCCGGTTCTGCAGGCTGCTGCAGTCCTCCTGCTCACAAAGCAAACCTGAATACTGCTATTATACCCACACACGCTCACACAAAGGTTTCTTTAAAGAAAGATTTGTGTTTTAAGACTGGAATCAGTCTTTGTGGAACATTCATTAAGACATTTTGCTTCCTGATTTCTGCTCTAACTGGAATAAAATCTGTCACACTGATACGCTCAGACGTTTCGACAAAACTGCATAATGGCTTCAGTCCCCGCGTCAGCATCTTTCTTTTATCTCTAAGTCACACAGATTGGACTGAAAAGGCTGGCGAAGTGCTGAACGGAAGAATTTTGAGCCGCTTCAATTTGCTGATTAAACATTTGGTTTGAAAGAGTTTACTCCAGGGCTTCACACAGTTCTATATAAAGGAGATGTTCACAAATTAAATCAAAGTAATTCTCTAAACTGTGATGGACTGGAGACCTGTCCAGGGTGACCCCCGCCTCTCACACAGTGACTGCTGGACACCAGTGATCCCCGCGACCCTAAACTGAAGAGGCGGGTAAACATAATGGATGGATTAAAATAATATGTTGGTTAAAAAATATATTACTTGGATATGTATAGCAGCAATAGTAATATAAAAATAGAAATAAAAGGTGTGGATTGAAGACTGGCGCATCAGCATCGTTCCCAGGATTGATCAGTCGCCTTTGTTGAATCAATACTTTCTGAATGTCAGCTCATCTTTATGCAAAATGATAATTAGTCACAATGATGACCTTTGCCTGCGTATATGACAACCAACTCTTTATTCCAGGTATTAATTAGAATGTGACGTTGCTGACTGATTTAATTTCTGACATGACAAACTCAGTCTGGAGCTGTCTGGCAACTTATCTGTTAGTCATCTCCACATTTATTAACAATAACATAGACTTTCAGCAAAAAATGAGCATTTAGGAATTTTATCTATTTATTTATTTGTTTGCTTATTAACACCTGATCGTCATCCCAATGATTGAAAACCCCTGACTGTAATTTCACCTTCAAATTAGCTGCTTTATTTAAAGGTACACATGCTTTTGCCACTCATTAATATGTAATATTGGATCATTTTCCTCAATGACTAAATGAGCAAGTATAATATTTTTGTCTCATTTGTTTAAGTGAGTTCTCTTTATCTACTTTTAGGACTTGTGTGAAATTCTGATGATGTTTAGTTCATATTTATACAGAAATATAGAATATTATGAAGGGTTCACAGTCATCCAAGCGTCACTGTATTTTCAGGTGAACTCTTCAACAATTGTTTTCTAAGCTCTAATTTGAAAGCCTGCATTAACCATCTAATGTTTAGCATTTTTTTAAGTTTAGGATTTTGTCCGATTGTTTGTGCACTGAACGCTCTTTCGTTTTCAGATGAGCAGCAAACGCTCCAGCAGCTTCCGGCGGGCCATCGCCAACGGCCGCCGAACGCTGCAGAGGGAGATCCTGCTGGACGAGACGGGGCTCGGGCTCTACAAACGTTTCGTCCGCTACGTGGCCTACGAGATCCTGCCTTGCGAGACAGACCGACGCTGGTACTTCCACCAGAGCCGCCTGTGTCCCCCGCCTGTCTTCATTGCCGTCGTCACCATCGTCCAGGTCAGAGGTCACACCATGGTCAGCTCTTTGTTCGTGTTGTTCACGTTTAAAATTCACTGATTCTGATTTTTTTTGTTTGTTTGTTTCACGTCAGCAAAACCCACCTCCAAAACTGACTTATCTGTTTGTTCAGCCGTTCATGAAACCTCCTTAGAAACGGTAACACATTTTGGAGCCAGAGAGCTTAGTGGTTTTAACGCTGCTCCTCTGAGCTGATACCTTCAGTGAGTCTGTAAGGATTTTGGAGAAATTCACCAACAGCTTCTTTAAAAAAACAGTCCTCGTTTCCCTTGAAATGTTCCTAATTCTTGGAAAAGGAAGCCAAGTTATCTCCGAACGGCTCTGAACGGTGTGATGACTATGAGAATACAGTAATAACAGCTCACGTTTGTTTTCATTCACGGAGACAATGAGCCATTAGTCTATGAGAATAAATTAATGGAACTGAACCAGATGTGTCTTTATCCTGCGGGCGGTATTTGCTTTCACAAGACTAATAAGCATGAGTTAAGGAACTATTTTACAAAAGACAAAAAAAAAATTCTAATTTTTTTACAAAGGTTTTGTATTGCAGCGTGATTTATACTTTTTTATTTAAACCAGCTCTGCAGAGAGTGGATTTAATGAGCTTTCTGCTCGAGCTGTCTGAACGCTGCATGTGTGTGTTTGTTGTGTTGCAGATTATTGTGTTCATGTGTTATGGCATCATGCTCAACAAGTGGGTCCTGCAGACGTACCAGCCGGACTTCATGAAGAGCCCGCTGGTCTACCACCCCGGTCATAGAGCACAAGTCTGGCGTTTCTTCAGCTACATGTTCATGCATGTTGGGTACGTTCCTGCACTGACTTCATCTTCAAATGTTCCTGGACTGGTTTGGTAAAAGTTTAATTGAAATGAATTTCAAACTAACTTTTTTTTTTCCTCTGTGCTCCTGCAGTTTAGAACAGTTGGGGTTTAATGCTTTACTGCAGCTGATGATCGGCGTTCCTCTGGAGATGGTCCACGGCATCTTACGAATAAGTTTACTCTACATGGCAGGAGTTCTGGCTGGTGAGTGTATTTCTACATATACATTTGTGGTATAAATGACCGATTCACAAACAGAAAATGGAACACCTGTGCTGATTTTAAAGCAAGAAAGTCATAAAATTTGCTTATTTCCATTTTTACTGTGTTTTTCGTGATGTTTCTCCAACTGAAACAGAATGTTATTGATGAACTGAAAAAAATCTGAAAAAAATACAACTTTATCACAATGACATCAAGTAAAGTTTTGAACTATCAATATAACGCACTAATGTTTATACACCTGTCGAAGTTGGACTTATTATGTTACAGTCTCCGTCTATCCATCAATCTGCTGACTTTCTCTTGTCGAGCCCATAAATTCTGCTCCACTCGAGATGAGTTACAGAAACTTCACACACATTAGAAGGTCCTGGGTTCTTCTGTGTGGAGTTTGTATGTTCTCCTCATGTTTGGTGAGTTTTCTCCGGGTACTCCGGTTTCTCCCACAGTCCAAAAACATGCCTTCAGGCTCAGGCCTCCTTTGCAAGAGATCTGTGATCTCAGAGGCATTTTCCAGGTTAAATAAAGGTTAATAAATAAATAAATAAATAAATAAATAAATAAATAAATAAATAAATAAATAAATAAATAAATTTGTTCCACCACTAGACAGTGTGTCACATAATCTTTCATTTCCCCACTTTAAGGTCAAGGTTACAAATCAAGGTCAAATATTATACAAGGCTTGTCCTTGGCATAGATTGCTGTACTGCTGTATACTAGCTTGTCGAGGGCTTGTGCCGTATGCAGTACTCTTGCTACACATGGTGTAGGTCCCACAGGAGCAAAATGTGTCCCGTAAGAGTAAGTGTATGTCCCCTGTGACTTGGATGATCTGTGTGGCCTTGGACACTTCAAATTAAAACAAAACAGCATAAAATGAATCAATAAAAACTCTAAACAGAGCATGCACTGCTTATTTTCATGTTACATTTTTTTTACACAGTTTTCAAAATAACCAAACAAATTAATCAGCTAGAAAAGTGTACAATTTGGTGAATATTTGGTGGACGGTAGATGAAGGTACCAAACTGAACTCATGTTTCTGTTTAATATGAAGCACTTTCATTTGTTTTCTTTAAATGAGTCAAATTAGCCTCTGAAATAACAAAACCCAGCAGGTTTTGTTGTGTTTATTACTGTTTTCTCAAGTTAGTTAGTTAGTTAGTTACAGTTAGTTAGTTAGTTAATTAGTTAAATAGTTAATTAGTTAATTAGTTTTGGTTTGTGATTCTTGTTTTTAGTCTCCTTGTGTTTTAATTTGTTTAGTGTTTGTGCGCTCCACCATCACGTCGTTCATTTCGCCTCCGTCAGTTTCTGCTTCTCTTGCCCCGCCCACTCTTGTCAGGTGTCTCCACTGTCTTCATCAGCTCCTGTCTCTCAGTTTTAGGTCTGTGTGTGCACGTCACGCACGTTTTACAGCAGTGTTTTTGTTATCTTAGTCCAACAGGGGACTGGTGGGGCAGAGGTTAAAGAAGGTGGGCCTGTGATCAGAAGGTTGCCGGTTCAACTTCCTATACCGACATCATCAAAATGTGGATGAGATAGGTGAAGCACCCACACCTGCCTCCACCATCATTTGCCTCACTCTGAGCCCTTGAGCAAGGCCCTTAACCACCACCATTTGCTCCCCCGGGTGCCCTATGGCAGCTCTCTGCTCCACACAGAGGGCTGTGGTAGCTCCTGGTCTGTGGTTGTGTCAGGAAGAGCATCCAGCGTTCAAACAATTGCCAAGTGTTCTTGTGATCGCTGTGGTGACCCCTCAGGAAGGGAGCAGCCAAAAGAAGAAAAAACTAAATAAATAAATAAAGTGCATTTATGAAGCGATACAGTCTGATAACACACACTTGTGATAGTGTTTAAAACACTTCTGCAGAGTTTAATAATTCAATATTTGCTTTCCTTTAAACAATAACCTCAGCGTAAAATGCTGTTTATTCTGTTTGTCTTTGTGAGTTTTTTTGTTGTTTTGCCAATAAATCTGAAGTGACCTACTTTTCTGGTTATTGTTAACATATGCTCTGCCTGGAAAGTGTTTTGTTTGGGGATTATCATTTGTTCAGTTTCAGGTGTTTCGTTGTGTCTGATGCATCTCATCAACACCAGTAAGGTGTTGATCGATTTTAATTTCGTTTTGAGAACTTGTGCACATAAAACTGAATTTTAAATATGAAAACCAGACAGAAAAATGTCCTTTCTCCTGCTGATTTTTTTTTTCTGCACAAACTCAAATGTAGTTCAAGCTGCTCTGGAGAAGACCTCCACTTTTCAACACACTTGCCTGAACATTCGCTGTTAGCACTCATGAATTATTGGAGCTTTGACTTACTTTGAGCGTGGACGTCAGAGAAAAGAAACCAGTAAATGAGAATGTGCACTTTCTCTCTGTACAATCGATCTGAACCCTGTTTGGAGATTTAAGCTGCAACGTGAAACAACAGGGAGGCTAAAACAATAAGAACATATGTGTCAGTTCTTATACCTGCAGAGCCAGGAGGCAGAAAGCTTTGCCTTCAAATCTTATACTTTACTTACAGACAAATAAAACTTGTAGCACAATTGTAGCTGTCTGATATTTTATGCATTTACCCTCAGTTAGAATCAAATCAGTATAAGTTCGAGTTGTCATCATTTTAATTTGAGGTAGCAGTGAGCTCATTTTGAGTTTCACTTCTTATTATTGTGGATCATGGTAAGAAATCAGCTCCTCTTCTCAAGAAAAGCCTCCTCAAGATCTTGGCTTCAAGCTTATGCTGCCTTTTCAAAATAAATTCACCTGCATTTATCTTACAAAAGAGCATGGTTATACAATAAATGTGTGCAAGAGCAAATAGAAAGTTTCACATGAGCTTGTTTTTATAATTAAACCAGGATCCAATTATCAAACTGACCTATTAAGAAAATAAAAATGAAACTTACGAGTTTGAAGGCAGATTTGACAACAGTTAGACAATAGCTACAGTAAATTCCAAGGTATTGTCAGAAAGCTGGAGAAGCTTTTTGCTTTAAATCAAATCTATTTTCTAAAAGCCACACGAAAAAATAATCTTGGACAAAATAGTGGCAGAGCAGCTCTTTGCTTTTTTGCCAGGGGGCTTGTTCTAACATCTGCCTCTGGTACTGCCGGTCATAATATTTTGAGGCTCTGCAATGTGGTCCATATATATTGGCTAGCTCCAGAGTGGTTTCATTTATACCTGTTTTCATAAATCAATCTGATCATGTCAGACTCTAATGGTCTATCGTGTGGGGTACCTCAAGGTTCAGTCTTAGGATCCCTCCTGTTTCTTTTTATACATTCTACCTTTAGGACTAATAATTAGGCTATATCCTGAAATTTTAAATAATTTCTATGTTGATGATATTCAACGTTACATCTCCTTCTAGTCAACAGAAAATCACAAGTTGTTGTCTTAACCAGCATCAACAATGGAAATGGCTATGTAACAACTACAGCAATTTGAAAAAAAAGACAGAATCCCTGAGTATTGCCTCTGAAAACTAGAATGTAAATAATGCCGGCAACTAGAGAGCAACATTTGCAAGAAATACTCCAAAATGCTTAAAAATGTTCTTGGGGGTTCTTCATTTCCTCACATGAAGTCACAGACTTGCGATCTTGTTTGCTAGAATTTCGAGCGTGTTCTAAAAGTTTTTGTGACATATTTTCCCCCAAGACTGTCAGTCTTGACGTCTTCCTAATTTAGTTTCCATAATGCTATAGCAATGGAGCTGTATTTCTCCGAACAGGAGCTCTCGTCTGAAAACAACACAGCAGCCACGAATATCCAGATCTGAACACCACACCAACGATGAATAATTAATAAAAACTGGTATAAACATGCCAATCTATATTCACATGTGTACTCCAGTATTGCATCAGAAAACTGGGGTCAGCTGCCAAAGTGGGTATTAAGCAAACTGAGGCGGGTACACATGGGCAGAGATAGGCAACAAAATAATATACACAGCCTTTAATACAGTTTTAAGAGCTTTTGATCCAAAATAAGCTGTTATTTTCTAAAACTGGCTGCTCAAAGCAGCCGCACAGCTCTCTGATCGATTAGAAACAAACAGAACTCAGTGAGACTTCAGGGTTGTCTATTTTCCAGTGATTTCCAGTTGCCAATCGGTCTCCAACAAACACTCGCCTTGTGAGATATCACCCCTGAGCTCAACTGTCCCGCCAAACCTCAAAAACCTTGGCGTTATTTTTGACACTGCTAGGAGCGTCATTATAGAAAATGATTAGGACCTGTTCCTTCAGATTGAGAATTACACCAAACTACATAATCTAGTGTCCAACAGACTATTGCCTTTTAATCGGGTTAAATATGGAGCTTGGCCGTCTCCAGTCAATCCACTTTTGTAAGGTTTTAAACAAACACAGGAAAAACGAACCTTGATAAACATATTACACCTGTTTCAGTCTCTTTTCTGTGGCAAACACATCTGAAGACGGTACTCCTCACTTCCAGAAGCCTGCGTGGTCTATCTCCAGCGTACATCTTTGACCTTATAGAGCTCCGTCCCCCTTCTTGCAGAGGTCATCTGATTAAAGGCCGCTCGAGTGGCACAGCCTCGTTTTAAGACAGAGGACACAGATCTTTTAAAGTTGTGGCCCCCAGGTTGTGGTTAACCTCCATCTTTGCATTGCTTTGATTTTGTTGATTCTTCCGAACAGCAGCCGCCGACCCATTTATCCAGACAGGCTTTTAATGAAATGAGGGCTCGGCTGCACAGTTTTATGTTTGCTTGTCTTTATGCTACTGTATGCTTTACATCTGCTTTTATGGCCCTCCGCTTTATGTTCTCTCTCCTTTGTCCTTATGCTTTTATGTGCATTTGTAGGTTTTATTCTGTGAAAAGGACTGCATAAATAAATGTTGCTCACTTAGATCAGCTTGATTTGTCATGTCTGCCTTGGGGTAGGCTGTCAGGTATTTTGATGGCTTTACTGTCACCAATAACTTTGTGTCAAA